TCCACAATAGTTCTACAAGGTAGGTGATTATTAATATTTCTGTTTTATAGATGAGGCCACTGAAGCACAGAAAGATTAGGTGTCTTACCCAGAGTTGCACAGCAAGGTAAAGCACAGTCAGGGCCCTGGGAGTGTGTTGAGAGGGCCTGTGATGTTCACACATACACCCCTTGGAGTTTCCCTTGGTTTTGCAACCTTTTTCACAGAAGCTAATCTTGAGAACAGCTTTGAAAGACAAATAGGAGTCAGCCAGGAAGGTGCTGTAGGTATGAGAAAGTGAGAGGAATAAAGGCCGTTCCTGGCTCTTAGCTAATGGCCTGGGGAATGAAACCATCAGATGAGAAGGCAAGTATTGAGGAGGCGTGTGAGAGAGAACAAGTCTTCAATTTTTCCATCATCAGCATAACAATGGAAATCCCAGTCTCCAACTGCAGGCGGCAAGGAAGCCACACCTGTCCCCATAATGACCCCTGCTCAGCCTGGTGCTGATTGGAGCCCACAAGACAGGAAGGCACTTGTGACTTTTCTGTGGTAAAGCAGATGACATTGTCTTCCGGGTCAGCATTAAAAATGAGTTCTGTTCCAGAGCTGCCCTGGTTTCTGTAAAGCCCCCAGCTATGGTTGGTCAAGGTTCTTCCTGTAGTCATGTCCCTAGCATTGTCTCTTAGAATACAAAGTTGTATAATAAACTTCTTACAAAGTTAAAACTTTCTATTTGCCCCAGTTTACTTTCCTGGCCTTTCAATGTTGTTTCATGGTCTTACATTTCAGGGTTTGCTGCTGAATTTGAGGTCATTTTATCTAACTTGTGGATTGCGGACCTTTTTCTTTATGGCCTGAGAAGACCTTTTGTTAGTTTGTTGTCAAAAACAAGCCCTTGTCTGGCTTTATTCACTTTATCCCTTTTGGGGGCCTGCAGAACTGTCTTCCATCTTTCTAGAGATGACACCACAGCAAGGATTTAAGTATTCCAGGTGACACTAAGTGCACCGCAGTTGTAAAGATGAGGGCTACGGATGTAGCTCATTGATAGAGTGCATGTCTCACATGGGCAAATCTCTTGAGTCCATTTCCAGTACAGTCCAAAAAGGGAAAATAAGATGACAGAGTAGGGGCTATTATTTTCATTGTTGATTTAAGGGATGAAACTGACTTTGGGAGATGTGTTTGGTGCCTGATCGTTTATAGTGTCCTTCCTGATGATCTTTCTCATTTTGCTAGTTTTTTTTTCTTTCACAGAACTCTAATGACATTTAAAATTGAGAGTTTAGAGCCAGGTGTGTTATATACACCTCTAATCCCAGCACTTAGAAGCCTGAGGCAGGAGAATCACTTTGAATTCCAGGCCACCATGGGCAACATAATGCATTCAAGGCTACCCTGAAACACATGGTAAGACTCTCACAAAACTTTAAAAACCTGTTTTTGACAAGCGCCTACAGGCTTGACTTTATAAAGAGCCATTTACTCTTTTTTATTTTTAAGACAGAATCTAATTATATAGTCCAAGGTGGCCTTGAGCTCACTTTGTAGCCCAGATTGGTGTTTAATTTATGGTCATCCTATTTTAGCCTCTGGAGTACTGGGATTATAGCCGTGTGCCATCATGCCTGGCTGCCATTTACTTTTTTTTTCCTTTTTAAAAATATACTTGGTACAGTAGGATTTTCTGCCGAGTTCCGGGAACCCCCAGACCCAGTCCTAGCCCAGGCACAGCTCAGGCCTGGCATACATGCCTCAGGTATAATCCTGCAGCTGCAATCCCTGCAGGGGAGAGTGTAGAGGATAGATCCATCCAGCTAGTCCAGGAGCAGAACATCTCACCACAGGGGCACAACAGGTTCACCCTTAAGGGCAGCAGCAGGAAGGACTGAGCACAGCGACCAGACCCAAGCCAGACGCAGCTGGATAAGTCCAAACTTTGTAGAGCTGCACCTGAACTTCAGTATGTGCGAAGGTTATAACTACAGCAAAGATCTACAACAAAGGTTAGAAGACAGTGCTACACAAAATGACGAGAAGGAACAAAATGCAACCTCAGAACCCAAGCCCACCTGTAACAAGTACAGAGGACACTAACACAGAAAAAATTGGAAATCACATAGCTGAAAGCAAAGAATCAGCAGCTTCTGAAATAAAAATATACTTGGTACAGGGAGTCACTATGTAGCTCAGACTCATAATGATCCTTCTATTTCAGCTTCTTGGACTTGTACTGATCCTCCTGTTTTCAGTAGCTCGGACTTGTAGTGATTCCCCTGTTTTGAGCCTCCTAGCACTGGGATTACAGGCATGCACCACCATGGCCAGACTCGTGGCTGGTTTAGCACACCCAGGGGTGGGGCCAGTGCCACATGTAGTGCTGGGGATTGAACCTTGGTCCCTGTGCTTGACTAAGCAGGTGCTTAGTCCACTGAGCTATGTCACTGTCCCAGCCATTTGCTTTTTCCATTAAGATACGGTCTTATCAGGAAAGTCCTCCATCACTTTTCTACTCAGTCCCGTGGCATTTTGAAATCCTCCTAGAGCTGTCATTGATTAATAGTCAGTTACCCAAAGAAGCAGTTGTTATGGGTACATAGAGGTATTTATGTGTTCTCTTTCCTCCACATGACTCATCAAAATGTAAAATAAAACTAGTCCCTGGGGTCTCTCCTTACTTATATCTCCTTATCCATAAAAGGATGAGTTTAACTAAAATCATTTCTATATCCATCACTAAACATTCCTTAGTTACCATGGAAACTGAATTTTAAAAACTAATCTTTGCTGTAGGAAACTGGGAACTTAAATGGTGCTTGCTACTTTCCTTTCTTCTGCTTGTCTATATGATTATCTTCCCAAAGGTCTCTGATTAATTCTTTTGTGTGTGTGTGTATGTGTGTGTGTGTGTGTGTGTGTAACTGGGGATTGAACTCAGGCCCTTGCACTTGCCAGGGAAGCACTTATTCTACTGAGCCATCTCCCCGGGCCCTTCTGATTAATTCTTGATGTTGCCATTATAGGTAGAATTTACATTTGTTGCAGTTTGGAATTAACTTTGGTGTAAGGTTGTTTAGTTTTGAATACTGGGGATTGAGAAGACTTTTGCACTATGCTATGCTCCATCTGCCCCCAGTTTTTAAAAATTTGAAACAGAGTCTCCCTAAATTGCCCGGTGTGTATTGAACTTACCATACTCCTGCCTTATCCTCTCAGAGTTCTGGGATTGTAGGCACATGCCATCATGCCCAACTTGGTTCAAGTTTTTTTGATTATTGACTATTGTGTCTCACTTGGGAGAGTTGAATCTCCATATAACATTAAAGAAGATGAGAATAAAGATGGCTGTATATCTCCTGCAGTGTGTGCTTGTCACTCCATGACACAGAACCCCAGTAATACCCCTAACTGCTGCAGTGAATCTGACTTTCATATTAATTATGGTGCTTATAATACTTGCACAGACCAGACTTCAAATGAATATCTGATCTTGCTGGTTATTTTGAAAATTGAGTGTGAGGATGTGTAAGTTGGAGTATTATAAAAGAAATATCAAGGAACTTGCTACTTCAGGGTAGATAGAATATCAGAATTCTTCTGGCTCTGTTTCCCCTGCCCACTGCTCCCACTTTCTTTTTTTATTTTTAAAAATTATTTATTTATTTATTTATTTATTTGGTACAGGGTCTTGCTGTGCAGCTCAGACTCACAGTGATCCTCCTGTCTCAGCCTCCCCAGTGTTGGGATTACAGGTGTGCACCACCACACCCAAGGTTCTGGGGCCAGCATGGCATGTGGTACCAGGGATTAAACTTGGGTCCTTGCACTTGCCAGCAGGCATTTAGACCACCAAGCTACCTCCCAAACCCCTGGCCCCACTTTCTTTAAGTTGGAAGGGAAATAAATGTCACCTGAAACATGTGGGTAAGGACCACAGAGAAGCATTTACCTTATCAGGAAACTTAACAGAGTTTTGTCTTTCCAAGATAACTTTCTGGGAGCCTGGAAAGTTGGTTCTGCAGAGCTTTTAAAAATATTCACTGTAGGGGCCAGGGAGATGGCTCAGTGGAATAAGCACTTCCCTGGCAATCGCAAGGGCCTAAATTCAATCCCTGGTTCCGCCAAAAAAATCCACTGTATGTCAATTTTATCTATAGGTATCTATACCATTTTAGGGTAATTAATCTTCTGAAAGTCATTTGAGGAAAAGTGCAATGGAAGTACCAAAAAAATTTTGTACTCATATTTTTATATATTCACATAAGGTATGAAGTGTAATATTTAGCTTTAAAACTTCACACAAATTTTACCAAAGTGAGACAATTTTAAATAAACTATGCCTTTTCATAATGTTTAATTGTATAGTCAACAGCTTCAACAAAGTATTGAAGACTCTGTATTTAATATCTACTTAATATGCTTCATATTTTAAAAATTTTACAATTATTTGGCAGTAATATTCTGCTTATGACATGACTGCTATGCGAGGCAGCAACTTCTCAAGTGCAGGCAATAGCTGGTGCTTATGTCTTATTCTCACAGCAACTGTTTCAATGTAGTGGAAAGTATCAGCTATTTTATTATGTTCTTCAAGGGCATATTTGCACATGATCAACAATATAGCATAGAGTTTTGTTTTGACTTGATCTGCTCACAGATATTGCCAAGCCTTTTTACTTTGGAGATTAATTTTTCTACTTTCTGTGTTTACTTAATTTCTTCCAAAATATTAGCTCTCAATGTATCTTTGAAGCTTTGGTGACATGGGATATATGACAATGAGCTCTGGATCTATAAAAGTTATCGTTTTTGAGGTAGGTGTAGCCCAGGGGCAGAATGCTTGAGTAATGTGAAAAATGTCCTGGGTTTGATCCCCAGCATGAAAGAAAAGAAAAGAAAAAAGAAAAGATGAAGCAGAAAGAAAAAGTATAAGTTGGTTGCAGTTTAAACAGTTTTTCCCTCTCTTCTTTCAGACCCTTTCTCAGTAACTAAGTGTGTGTCCTCTTGTTTGTTCCTAGGATGGCCCAGATTCTGTTGGAGGAAACCGGACAAAGCAGGAAAGTGCATGGATATTCAGGCTGTGGTACAGCTTTGACCACAAGTATCCTTTTAAGTGGCATCTTTGTGAGACATTGATGAGTGAAGAAAGCCATGTGCATCTACAGGCATAGTCAGTCTTCTCTTGGGGCATACATAGCCATCATTCAGTCACAAGCAGTATTGGTGGTCATCTCTGATCAAGAGGAGTGTTTGCAATATTATTAGATTGGCTAGAGTACAGCCTGGTGGACATAGTGGCTTTTGAGAGCTCTGTGTCCAGGTAACTGTGCCTTTGTAGGAGAATTCATTAAAATTATAACATACAATTCTACACCTAACTTATCAATAAAAATGAGTAAAAAAGTGATTGATGCTAGAGTGCCTAATATTTGTGCAATGACATTACTACTTTTTTTTTCTCTACTGGTCATGAAACTCAGGGCCTCATTCATGCTAGATAAGTGCTCTACCACTGAGCTACATCATTAGCCCAGTGACATTACAAATACTGATTTATTGCTTTTAAACACTTAGACTTAATCTGTAGACAAAGCATAGAAAATTTTCTTATTATGTAATAGCAAATATATTTGCAGTATGAAATTAATCATAAAAACTGGAAGAAACGTCAGAAGTATAAATGAATTATATTTATTCTTCATAAGACAGAATTAACAACCTCTGACTATAGATTATGTATTCAGAACTAGAAAAATGTATTATATGAAATTTAATATCAATTACCAGGCTGATGAGGAGGAGAGAGACTTGAAGTTTCATTTTGTGTGCTTCCATTCAACAATTTGAATACTTAAGTTTGTGTGTGTACGTGCGCATGTGTTTACGTGTGTGTGTGTGTGTGTGTGTGTGTGTGTGTGTGTGTGTACAGAGTCCATCAAAAATATATATACACAGAAAAGAAAAAGTTGCATATATATTTTCATGCTAAATTTATTGAGACATCACGAGATTAATACAAGTCACTTTTGGCCTCTACAATTAGAAGAGGTGCTCATAGTGGTGGCCATGAGCTTCAGACATTTATTAGTTGGATGAATTGCTATGTGTGTAACCTTGGTCATTCAAATTGTTGCACATGCTTTTCTTCTGTAGGGACTGGCAGTGTAGTGTGTTTTCTATGATATATGATATCTTCTAAGGTCCCCCATACAATGTTAACACCACCTGTTGAAAAAAATCATACTATTTTTTTTCCTGGAATATGTATACATTTTGAGGCAGAGTTTGTATAGGTTTCTTTTTCAGGAAGTTGTTCTATGCCTTCTGGATTTGGAAAAATGGGGTCTTGTCTTTGAAGTGCCTGAAGCAGGAAACTGAAAGGCAACCTGTGACTCTTGGCTGTTCAGCATACAACAGATGGGATCCTCTGTCATCTTCCCAGAAAAGACAGGAAAAACTGATGGCCCTGTGAGGGCCCTGTCCCCGGGTCTGTAGTTAAAGGATAGCAGTCAGAGGAAGCTCATTCTGCCTGAAAAGAGCTCCAATAAACCCTCATGGCTGCTCTCTTTGTTGAGTCATTCCCAGCTAGAGGCATACCTCAGTACTCTTCTTGTTCCTCTTCAGATAAAGCTGTTTCCCTTAGGCTTTGCTCTAAATGAAGACAGGAAGTCATAGTATATCAAACTGTGTAGTGTTTTAGGTACAAAGCACTTCCTTCAACATTTCTTGGCCATGCTTCAAGTCAAAGTGGCCATCTGAGACTACCTTTTCCATGTGGTGTAATGTATGAGTCTCAGCAATGGCCCAACTCTCCCTAATGGGACAGGTGCTCATTCATGCTTCCAACACGGGGTTGTGTGTTTGGCAGCATACATATTCAATAACTGAAAAACTCTGAGATCTCTGGATATCAATTGACCTTCATATTGCAGCAGTAGTCTTGAGCATGGGTGAATTTACATTCTGGGAGACATTTGGCAATTTTTTTGAGACATATTTTTCACAATTTGGTTAGGGGATAAGGGTGCAACTGACATCTAATGATGAGAGACTATGGATGCCTCTCAACATCTTAGCATGCATAGCACTATCCCCCACTACAAAGCATCATCTGGTTCCAAATGTCAATAGTGTCAAAGTAGAGAAGTCATATGTCAGAGAGTCTGGGAGAGAGGTAGCAGGTAGAATAAAAAATAGTCCTATAATGGGAAGTTGGGAGAGTTAGTGCAAGTAACCTCACTGAAATCATTTCACCTTGCCAATTGTCAGTTTCCTTCTTTGTAGTAGCCCTAGATTACCTTTAAAGTTCTGTGGAATCCCAACATGTTCACTGTGTACCCTCTAGGCCAGTGGTGGTTAACCAGTAGCACACGTGCCACAATAAGCTGTTTGTATCAAGTAAGCTCCAAAAGGTTTAATCTCACTGCAGTGGTTTAAAAAGGATATTTAGAGAGAACAAGAGCAGAGGGAATCCCAGTGCAATAACCCCTACTCTATCCTGTTTGCAAGACTTGAATTGCTTATGTGTCAGAAGCTGAAATGCTTTCAGGCATGGTGACACATACCTGTAATCCTGGAACTTGGGAAGCTGAGCCAGGAGGGTCTCTGTGAGTTCAAGACTAGCCTGGGGTATATAGTGAGTTGAACAATACCCTGAACTATGGAGTGAGACCCTGTCTCAAAAACATAAGAATAAAGCTGAAATGCTGATTGGAACCAAAACAGAGAACGCAAGAATGTTCTAAAGAATCTAATCTTTTAAACTGACAATTGGGAATCACCATTTAAGACTGATTAGGCATATCTTAATCTCCCATTTGTATTCCTGCAGTTTACAAGTATTTCATGTTCTAGTGTGGTAAAATGGTATGGGTTGAATGTTGGATGACTTACTGGGATTTTAAAACATATTTTGTCATGTGCATATTCTCTTTGCAGCCATTTTTCCTTAATTCTCATTTTAAAGTTACTTGAAGCCCATTCTCACACACAGTGGTCCCCCGCTCACCACTACTCTCCCTGCCTGGTGTGGCTTGCTGGCTCGATGTCTGACTAGTCCCCAAGTGTATGATGTAAGTATAGTGTGTTAGCAACTTTCTTGTTACTAGGACAAAATACCTGACACTCACAACTTAAAGCAGAGGATTATTTTGCCTCCTTGGGCTGGGGAGATGACTCAGTGGCATAAGCACCTGGATGGCAAGTGCAAGGTCCTGAGTTCAATCCCTGATACCTAAATAAATAAATAAATAAATATTCAGTCCTTACCTGTCTGGCTTCAAGGCAGAAAGGGCATGGTGGAAGGGTTTTCGGGAAGAAAGCTGCTCACATCATGAAAGCCAGGACATAGAGTGTGGGAAGGAGCCAGGGATAATAACGTACCTTTCTGGGTCACATTCTCAGTGACCACCTCCAACCTGGCCCCACCTCTTGACAGTGCATTCTGCTATGCATGAATCCACTAATGAGGATAGCACCCCCATAATCTTATCACCTTCTAAACGTGTGAGACTTTGGGGGACATTTTAGATCTATCCTATCACATTTTATACCTATGTACAAGATACACTATGAACTACAAAGCTTTTCACAAAGGTAAGGTTTCTTTTATTGTAGGAATTAGTTTATTTATGATGATGTGGTTAGGTCTTTTCTTCCCATTTCCCAGTGCTAGAAATGGAGTTGGTACAGTAGGAAAAGAATACCAAACTGCAGCCACCTTAGCCTTTGGACTAACTTTAGTTCCTGATGTGGGTTGCAGGACATAGAGATGGAGAGAGCAAGCCACTACCCACATAGGAGTACAGGAGAGGGCAAAGGGTTCTTCCTTCTGCATCTCTTCTCCACCATCATAGTCATCTAGTTATCAATGCAATCATTATCCCTAAGAGAAAAGAACTTCTTAAATTCTTTTTTTAAAATTAATTTTATTGAGAAATAAATAGCAATGAGACAGTTTCAAAACTGATTAATAGGACAGTTTCAATAATTAATACATTGCATATTGTTGTCTTCTTAGTGGTTATTCTTAGTACAAGATGCAGACATGATATCCTGTCCAAACACTATTAGCACAAATCTTTCTTCTCATTGAATTAAGAGAAAGTAGCTGTATATCTATTCTATTTTGTATATACAGATACAAAATGGTCCTTTATTTGTATCCCCTTTTTTTGTTTAGTTTTGTCAGAGATGAGCATTCCATTGCTATTTAAGGAACTTGTTAAATTCATACACAGCTTTATAGTTCCCAAAGGCTAATTTTGTTCTCTTCACCATACCTTGAAGAAACAGATACTGTATTCTTATAGTTGAGGAAGGTACATTTCAGGGATTATGTGAGTTGCCTATAGTCCCACAGATACTAATTGGAAGAGATGAGACCTTAATGTAGGTCTTCAAATAATTATCAGATAATATGTATTTCCCTGACCAGTGATTAGAAAGAAGAACACAAATCCCACTTCTCAAGGAGAAGGGCCCTGAACAGGGAAGTTTTAATAGGCTTGGGATGGGGGTTGATGGAGCTGGCATTCAGGTTGAATGAAGAGGAAATAGATGTGGACACCATAGCTCACCAGGGAACATTGAGGAAAAAGGCAGCTCCATCAGAGCCCCCACAATTATAAGGTGCCACTCCTGAGATGGAATGCTACCCCACCTTTTCTCCATAATAAAGCTCTAACTGATTATACCTTTAGAATCTTCTGTAATCTGAAGCACTACAGTAAGCACACTTATAGATTAGGGCTATCTGGACCAGTTTGAATTCAGTATAAACTCAGTAAACTTAAAGTCATATGAATTTAAACTACTTCCCTCAGTAGCTCATGAGTCTACACAAAATTTGCTTCCTGAGTTAATGTTTGGGCTCTGGACTCCTCATGGCCAAGCTAAGATGGGGAAACTTGGGCTGCCAGTGAGAACTACCCTGAATGTTATTGCTGCCCCTTTGGACTTGTGTCCTGCTCAGGTTCTCAGCAAGCTCCACACACAGTGATGCCTGATATTAAGAGTGGAAGCAAAGGGTCCTTTCAGGATTATATCATTTGATGAACCCAAAGTTGAGAGAAGTAGAGGGGCTTTCTGTGGGACATGCTGCCTGGTGAGGGTCTCAGGCTGGGCAGTTCTCCTGGTCATATGGCAGCTGTTGTATGATTCTTGCCTATCACCTATACGGCACCTTGTACTTCATCAAGTTTGTTTGGAGGTACCTAGAGTGTTCGTCATTCATTACTTCTATTAACTCTAAACCATTTATGTTGATATCCATCAAGAAAGCAGTGTTCTTTCATTTATAAGAATGAACAATGGTTATGTACAGTGCACACGTTTTCACAGTGCTCTTATTTGCAGGTGTTTTTAGGATATTTCACTACATTTACATAGCAGCCTTCGTTGAAAAGCACTTATGTAACTATATAGACCTTTGGCTTAGCCAAACATATAGTCTAGAATTTGAGGAGTGGGTTGGCTTCATCATCTTTATGTACTACTCATTAAACTTTGATTTAGGAGTCACTCTCCACTAGGTTTTACCTTGCCCTTGTTTCTGAATGATCTCTCCTTGGGTACTGTCTGAGCTAGTGAGTGTCAACATCCAGTCTTATTTTCTCCCATTGAGGCCCCCTGCAGAGTCAGAGCAGGCCATGCTGGACTTGAGGTCCACAGTGCTATGGCAGGCTTTCCTCCATTTACTGAATCACCTTTGCAAACTATGACCTCTGTTTTTCTTTCTTTGTGTTGCCCTAAACCTTGCAATAGTAAAATGTATACCAGGAACGTGTCCTTGAAAATTGGGAGTAAGAGCCTCACAGAGATTTTGACAGAGATGACCAGAAACTTTACTTGACACATGTCTGAATGGGAGAATTGGGATGTGCTAAGATAGGAGAACTCACTGGGAGCAGGAAACTTGAATGAGGCACATGATATCATTTGCTGTTAAGAAAATTCTCATAGAACAGACTGAGTTTCAAGACTTTGTAAACACTATAGGAGAGGAGGAAATTTGGGTGTTTGGAATAGACTTGAAAACTACCCTACACATCTGTCTGAGTGTAGGACTTACATATCATTGACATCTCCACTCTGCCTCATTCCCTGTTCCATGGGGATCTTAGGCAGTGAGCGAGCTTGCCTACCAAAACTACTGGCACATTGATGACATGGAGTCACACTGTGGTCTGTGTGAAGAAGTCTAGCAATCATGTACTTGTAACCAGTAAGTGCAGAAAGATGGATGGGGGAGAAGCAGTGAGAGAGACCTGACCCAGGAATCCTGGCTCAGTGCATTTAAAAGGCATTCACATAGCACTTGTGACAGGTTGGGTGTCCCTCACTAAAAATGCTTGGGACCCAGTGTTACAGATTTTTTTTCACATTTAGGAATAGTTGCATATATCTCATGAGGTATCTTGGGAATGAGGCTGAAGTCTAAACACAAAATTTATGTTTTTTTGTATGTTTATACCTACTACATTAAGGTAATTTTATCTAGTTATAATAATTTTGTGCATAAAACTGTGTATACATTGAACCATCTGATTTCTGTAACATTACAGAGTTTTGATTCGGCAGTTAGGGCTCTTCAATATGTTTAAGATGAGCACCATTGAGTAAAGATGTGGGAGAACAGAAGCTCACTGCCTTTGGTGATTGTTCACCTAGACGTGCAGTCCAGGTGCTTACCTGGGGGGAGTATGGCCCTTGCCTTGGGCAGTATGACTGTGCAGGGTGAGGAAGCCCTGGTATGTAGAAAACATAAAACTTCAGATAAGCTTTGAGGGGCTGACAGGACACAGTACAAAACAGAGCAGTTTACCTGGAACATTTTAACATTTTTTTTGCTATTTGCAGAGACCTTCATAGTGTTTGACAGACTTCAATGCCACAGAGGATGAGGACTGTGGTCCTCCTGTTTTGCATGGCTGAAAGGTTCTGTCTGACTTCTTACTTTCTCTTGACATCCCACCCCAGCTTCAAGTGGCCCTGATTCTGTTCACTCCTGCCTTATTTATTTAGACTTGTCTGTTTTGCAAGCACTAGTGCTTAGGATGAGGGACCCTTCCAATTCTTTTCCTGATGGGAGGGGTTCACATCCTTTGTGTAGATAAAACCAGTCTGCAGGCAGTAGTAGTTCTGGCTCTACTTCCTGTCAGCTGAATAACTTAAGACACACTTCATGGCTTCTCTCAGCTCAAGTTTCTAGTGATTATCAAGGTTCTAGTTTCTGTGATTATCACAGAGTAGGGAATGGGATCAAATGAGCTTCTGTGATATTTCTGCCTGGCATACAGTAGATGTTCAATAAAATATTGTCATCCTCACTACCATTCACTGTATCTGCCTGAGGGTGGAGAGAGGAGGCCTTGCCATCACGGTTTTCCTGGAGTCACCAGAGGGTAAACCTGGAGGAAGCCTTAATCTTGGTTTTTCTTCTTCCCTGAGTTGCTGAGTAGGACAAAGTTTAGGATCTTTTGAGTAGGGCAGCAGAGCCATGTACAAGACATGTCTGGGGAACAAGAGAAAAGAACTGGGAAGCTATTTGCAGTGTTTGCCCTGTGACCTTCCCCATAACTTCCTTTCTTTGTGGGTTGAGAATTTGAAAATCCAACTGCTCTTCCCTTTGATACTAACCCTACATTGTCAGACACTTGAAATCAAAATTTCTGCTGGTGTCCTGGCTCCAGCAGTAGTACCTTATGTTATGGCCCTTTACAACTTATATCCAGTGACTATGCTAGAGGTTTGAGGTGTACAAGTTTCATCATAATCCTCAGTCTCAGATGAGGAGTTAAAGTTGGGTTTGGCTCCAGCCCCGAAGCTATCAGTCTCCCAATTTTGTTGTTATTGTTGTTGGTTGCACCTTTCAGAACCAAGAACCACTGAGAGAGGAAGACTCTGATTTCATCTTGACTGAGGGTGATCTCACCTTGACCTACGGAGACAGCACAGTGACTGCGAATGGCTCCTCAGGTTCCCACACAGCCTCCACGAGTCTTGAGGGTGCTCGGAGAACAAAGAGCAGCTCTGAGGAAGTGCTGGAGCGAGACTTGGGGATGGGAGACCAGAAGGTTTCAAGCCGGGGCACCCCTCTCGTGTTCCCACTGCAGGAAAATGCATGACTTTCCCATAGCCCCAGAAGCAATGGGGTCAGCCTTGAGGGGGAGTGGTTGAGGATGGCTGCAACCCCAGTGTTTGAGGTGGGGCATTGACTGGATTGAAGTAATGCTTCTATTTTATCAGGGTCTGAAGCTATCTTAACACTGAAAATTTAACCCAAGTTGCAGACAGTGAAGATAAAGTGTCACTAAGATTAAGACAAATATTCCCACTTTTTCACATAGTGTGCTGTTTTGGAATTAAGCAAACAAAAACATAGCATGCTTTAATGGTCTTTTAATTCATCAACCTGCAACATCTGTCAAAGATGGGGCGGGTATTGGGATTCTTACCAGGACAGGCTTCAGCCCCCTACTCAGCAGTGCTGTCTGTCTGGCTGGAGGGATATCAGGTGAGGGGAGAGCATGCTGTAAAAAAGACCATGAAGGAAGGCAGTTAAGGCTGGATCTCCAAGAATTATGCAATGCTAGAAAAAGCTGTTTGAGTGGAGACTGGCAGTAAAGGCTATGGGACCACATCCTTCTATCAGGACTCCTGACTCTCTGCTATCTGTGTTTTTTTAGGCTAAAGAATAGAAAATTTATCTGTGAACATTTTTCAGTATGGGGGGAAGAAGTACAGTTCTTTCTCTAGAAATCTCCATAAGGAAGAAGTTATGAAATATTTAAAACCAAAGGCAAATAGTGTTATATTGTTGTTTTGAAGATTAATCTGAGGCTAGGAGATATTTAGAAACTGATAATATTGCTACAGAAATCATTCAACTTTCGAGGGCTAGCATGTGAGCTTGGGAAATGATTAGTAGCACTGAGTTACCTACTGTGAGGGAACAGTTGACACCAACATTTGTAAGATGATTCTATCTAGGGAAGGAAGGAAGCAAGAAACTGAAGAAGCAATAGGCTAGTAGTAAGAGGTGAAAAAGTCTGAAAAAAATCACCCGTAAAGAAAAACGATATTGTAGTCTCAAGACTGGGTTAGATTCCAAACTTTGAGCTGTTGTGTGCATGTGGTTTCAGTGACTACACAAGAAATTGGAGGCAAGGCAATGGATGGTTAAGCATTATTTGACCCAGTAGAAAGTTATGTCTTCAGTCAGATTAAGCATCCACCTTTTTTGATACCAGGTGCCACACAGAGCAAAGTCATATTTTGGACTCTCACACCACCTTAATGTGTAGATGTGGTTTGAAATTTAGGTTTTTAGTTAGCATTCTTTCTGGGAGTGTTACTCTATTTGCCCACACCTGTAAGAATGCTTGGGAAACATTTGGGGCCTCCTTCCCCCCATCTCTGTGCTTCAGCACTAGCATTTTTGGAAAACCAGTTTCTTTACAAAAATGCTTTCATAACAATGCTGGCATTTTGCTCCTTATGGCAGATGAAGTAGTGTCCCAGTCTAGCACACCCATAATGAAATTAGGCATTTGACCTTCTTAATGCACATTTTTTGATGGTTAGTTTTTCCCCTTAGAGACAGGGCCTTGCTGTATTGCCTAGGTTGCTCCAGGTCCCCTGGGCTCAAGCAATCCTCTTGCCTCAGACTCCTGTTTAAACGAGGACTGCAAGTATGTCATATTATTCCTGGGTAACTATTATTTTTTAAAATAATCTCTCGCTTTACAGCTTTCTGTGTTTGAATTGGTAGTTTGCACAAATAAAAAATTTAATGACATTGAGCCATGTGAAATTGCTTATATTCAACTATTTTTAAAACTCAGAAATGGCAGTTTCATATACATAAATATATGTTTGAATGAATCTTATTGCCTTTTTCCTTTCTACTTACAGTAAAGTCCATTTTTTAAATTTTATGGGCCTCAATGAGCTTTGTAGGTTTGAATGAACCTAAACAACTGGCCGGGTGTGGTGGTGCATGCCTGTAATTACAGCACTTGGGAGGCTAAAGCAGAAGGATCTCTGAGTTTGAGGCTGGTCTGGGTTACAAAGTGAGTTCAAGGCCCGCCTGAACTGCATAGCGAAACCCTGTCTAACAAAGACAAAACAAAAACAAAAATCCTAAACAATTTACTTAACTTCATGAGGCCTCAGGGTCACTAGGTTAGAGAAGGACTTCAGAAAACCTTCACCATGTAGCCAGAGAAAGTACTTTCTTATCCCCTGGAAAGGAAACTCTTAGGTTGAATAATCAGATTGCAGATAGCAGCTGACAGGCATGGCAGAATCCTGGAGTTGTGTATATGTGCTTGGGTCCAAAGCTAGCATGTGTGATAATTTAATAGTTATCTTAGATGACCAATCATACTATACAAGCTTAAAAGCTGACACATTTGTTTATATTTTTGTGGGCTGTCATTACTGACTTTGAGGTAGGAGTCTCATTAAGTATTCCAGGCTGTACCTGAATTCATGATCTCTTGCCTCAGCCTCCTAAGTAGCTGAGATTACAGGTGTGTACCACTCCTGCTAGCTTGTTTGATTTTTTGAAGGGATAGAGGAATAGGCTGCCACTCTGGTCTTTGTAAAGCCTTGCTTATATGCTGCTTAATTTTGGAGGAGAAAAGCTAAAAGAAAAGCCATGATGATGGTTCTTGTACAAAGTAACTGGGTTGGATATACCCTGTCTTCTCTCACTTCAAGGTCTTGTTATCCTTTTGGGATCCTAGGAAGCTTTCAGCAGATTGTAAGAAATTACCCTCTTAGGGAAGAAAAATAATCACTATGCTTCCCAGCCTGGCCTTATATTAATCCATAGATTGTTGTGTTTTTCCCCAATGGGTCTTGTAGTCTTCATCACAAAACATTTATTTTGACCTACTTAAATATAACTAAATGCAGATTTGCCAAGACCAAAACTAGGGTTGTAATTATTTGATTAAATCTTTTATTCAGTAGATTGAAGTAAGTCACTTTGACCTGCAGTCTTAATTTTTGCTCACAAGATAGGAAGAACATCTTGAACTTACCAGGGGTTCTGGGAAGGTCAGTCTATCTGTTGAGATGGTTTCTTACCCAGAAGGCTTATGCCTTGGCTGTGTGGTGGAGGAAAATAGGTGCCACAAAGTCCCAGAACCATCCAGTTCAAGGCCAACTGTCTGTTGTCAGTCTGTCATAAAAACCAGAACTAAAGTGCTAAGTAGTGTACATCCAACCAAGCAAAGTTCTTCTGAAAGTCATCCCTAGTTATGACTGGTTCTGACTTGAGGTGGATGACAGGTCGGTACAGTATACTTTTCTAGAGGAAGGGTTCTTAATTCTGGCTGTACATTAGGATAACCTGGCTAGTTTAAAAAGAAAAACCTTGACAGAAGGGCTTCATGTTCTGAGATTAGGATTTGGGAACTTTGAGCTAGGGCCTGGCATCTGTGCTCTGGTTTAGAACTATAGGAAGTCTTCATGTGTGGCCACTGCTGAGAGGCTTTTGGAGAGAGCTTGAAGTTAAAAGAATAGTTTAGCAAGTCAAGGGTTTGGTTTTTAACTGTCATTCAGGAGGGACAAACTGAATATTGATCAGTAATAGAGCCTCGGCAGCTGTAAGAGTTTATGTTCATCTTTGAAGAACTCAGGAATGAAGTATAACTGTACAAGTCACATTTGAAAAACTTAGAGCCTTTAAGAGGAAAAGTATATGACTTGAGTATATGGATGGGGAGAATTTAAAATGTCATCTTCATTCCTATTTGTAAGGAGCAAATGTGGCGCTTGTCTTAATTGTTGACTAATCAAACATGAAGGTTTCTTGGAAGTGACCTTTGAAGTTTAACCTAGAATTAACTTAACAGTCCCTTTTGTGGTCAGATTTTGTCTTTTGCTTGTCCCCATGCCTAAATTCATATTGGATTTCTTAGAATAAGAGTAGGCCCATTTACTGCCAGAGCACAGGGGAAGGTTGTGATCATATTGCTGTCACATGGTAGCAGTGGTATAGCTACAACAGAGACAGGATTAATTCCCCCCCCCACCCCGCCCCACTTTTTGGTACTGGGGATCAAACTCAGGACGTTGCGCTTACCAGGCAGGCACTTATGCCACTGAGCTATTTCCCCAGCCCTCTTTATTCTTTTTAATAATACTCCATGTGGAAACTACCAGGAAACTTAAATGTTCCTAGGTAAGGATTTTTGGAATTTAAATACAGCTGACTCTCTTCCCAGGAAATAAGCATAGGAAGCACATATGGACTGACATCCAGGGTATTCACTGAGGTGACCAGACATTTGAATGTTGATGCCTTGAAGCCAAAAATCACACTGCGAAAGCAAATTTCCCATCAAGGACACAGCAAGGAGCTCTTTCGGGTGTGTTCTCTAGACCCACAAATGTCCTCTATGGTTTGGTTGACAAAGGAAATCTCTGTTTAAAAAATAAGAAGTGCTATCTCAACTATCTATGAATAATTCAGCCCAGGGCAAAAAATTAATAATTCCTTCCAAAAGAGAGCTCCGTTTCCATTGCTCCACAGTATCTCATTCCCTTTCCTTGTTTTCTGGGGAAGTTAATATAATCAAGTCAGATTTGATGTAAACCACCATGGATGCATTTGGGGAAGATTGGCAGCAAAGCAACTGAGCAACTCATCAGAGGTGAAAATCATCCTCGTGCAAACCTGCTTTATCCCCTTGTGAGTTCTAAGAGGTGGATCAGAAAGCTCACAGTCTCATTCATTGTAAAATGTAATCTAGAAGGAGGGTAACTACTAAGTATATATGCCTTCTTATTCCACCTCAGAAGTGAGGAAGCTTAACTCTCATGCCTGCCTTTTGATGTTGATTCTGTAGATCATTTAGTACAGGCAAAAATCTGTCAGTACATTAGAGTAGCATTACTGAGTTCTGGTCTCTTCTTGCATTGGAAGAGAAGATCTGGCTTGTTAGTGTCAATTGCTTCATTCTGTCAGATACAGTAAGTTGAAGGAACCTAGCAGTCATGCACCCAATTTAGGAACAACCTATCTAAATGCTGCTTTTACCACTTTGATACCTAAAAAAACCTTCCTCCTTTTTCAAACCTAGTAAGAGCAACATATAGAGGATACTATAGAAACCAATACCAGTGTATAAAGGAAGTATACTGTTCGACAATCCTTTCAAAACCAGACCTAGATAGATAAATCATTCCTTTTTCGGTTCTGGTTTTCATGCTTTCTTTAAAAATCAGCAAACATACCTTGTCTTGCCACCCAGTGGTAGTAAAATCTGTAAAAAGCAAAACCAAAGTTTTTAATGTTCATTTTTATTTCGTAAGCAGGGTATAGTATAACTATGGCCCAGATGGAAAGCACAGGCAGCCAATTTTGGCCAGCTGAGCCTAGGGGAAGAGGGGAAGGGAGGAGGTCTGCCTGCTGTGCTACCTTTTCAAAAGATTTAACAGAATTGCCAAATATCACAGTCAACTCTCAACTTCTGGCCCTTAGAAAGCTGCCTGGGCCTGATTATGTTGGAGGAATTCAGGAAAGGACTGTAAACAGCATGAAACACTCAACATCTACTGTCTAAAGCACTTTTCTTTCTTTTACCATCCAGGTGTTACTGGATGACTAACTTCATGGACATTTGGGGGGCTGACTTTTGTTGTGCTTATTCCCTTTGTGGGCTTTGGAGAAGCAGAGGAATGATTTTCAGTTATGTGGATCTTAAGTGTGTGAATTTGTGACTTCTCACTGAAATCACTCATTCATCCAAAGTGTGACTTAATACTCGGGTCAGCTCCTTGTAGATTGTCTTTTTATTTTTTTATGTAAAGTACATCTAATACTTCTTACTTGAATGTCTTAGCATATCCATTAAAATCATCAAATGGGAAGACCACCAAGAATCATTTAATATGTGAAAAACAGTTTTTTAAAGTAGAATAGGATGAATTTAACATGGAATGATGTGATCTTTGGGGAAACTTTTATAGAGGGCTCACATAGTGTATTTGGGGAGAATTTTGTCTTCTTCCATGCAAAAGTAGCAAACTGGTGGTTTTATAAGATTAACATTATTGTATGTTATATAAACATGTTATATAAAATGATACTAAGGTATGTTGTAACTGTGAAAAATTAAAGACTTGGAGTTATCTGCAACTGTTATGTGCAATAAGGAAAACTGCAGTAAGCCCCCAAAGTGCTATCCTTTCCTAGCATTTCACTTAATGTTTGCCTTTGTGTAGATGTTTAGATTGCTCTTGTAAAGCTAGCCATGTGTTTTCCTGCCCTTTACTGATATTGAACACATTTTCTCAAGTTTTTTTTTTTTTACAAAACTGAAAATAAAAAGATTAACTAGCTGGTCTAATCTTGTTTTGCATTTTAAAAGAATCATGTCTTGGTACAAAGGTATATAATGATCCTATTACTAGTCTTTCTTTCTCTCACTGCTAAGTTATTTTCTGGATGGAAGCTATTCCTGTGCTGGAGAATTCACTTTGGCCAGCGTTGGCAAACTACAGGGTTCCCTGAACCCACCCCAACCCACTGCCTGATTTGTAAAGTTTCATTGGCATTCACTTTACTCATTCATTAGCATATTGTCTGTCACTGCTTTCACGCTACTGTGCCAAAGCTGAGGAGCTGTGATGGAGATAGTAAGGCTCATAAAGTGTTTACTACCTGGCCCTTTCCCTAGAAAAATTCTTATTCCTGATTAAGATGCTTGGAGAAATCCAGTTTTAAAATATGAGATGGTTCAGTAGAATAAGTGCTTGCCTGACAAGCGCCAGGGCCTGAGTTCAATCCCTGGTTCCAAAAAAAAAATACGATGTAAAACTAATGATAACAGGTTTTTGAAGTGTTTTAATGTGCCTTAGAGTTAAAAGAAATACTTGAAATTTGACCTCTATCAGGCTTTCAGTACAAAACTCTGAAAAAGACATCTCCGGATGTTGACAACATCAAGCTGTAACTTTGAAGAAGCTAAAATTAACACTGCAGCTCAATGCTTCTGATAGATAATTGCTAAAATGTTGAACCCAGTGCAGTTTCCTTCATTATATATTTCTTTGTATGGAACTGTACAACTGAGCTGTATCCTAAAATCTGCCTCCTAAACAAAGCAAAATAAACCCTATCATTAGCATGATGTCAGAGTCACTTAACTGCATAATTTCAAAGTACCCTATACAATAATTTCAAAACAAAATTTTGTTTCAATTCATTATGATTCTTCTACCCCAGGGAGAAAAGTTGTTTTCCAAAAGCTGGTTCTAGGGAAAGGGAACTATTTGAAGGAGAGCAGGAGGAATCATGTTTAAAACAGTATTACTCAGACCTTTTATTTACTCTTAAGTAATTTAATCAAGATAGACAGCACTGCACATGATTCATTTATTCACATTGATATTTTTGTCCAGACATCTGTTAATGTGAATTGAAACCCAATCCCATCTTGTCTTTGTTGTAAGCTTTGTTGAAATGGCTCCAACAGAGGCAGGTTCAGTCTGGGAACTGAAGCTCTTCCTATTTTATGGTCATAAATATCCACATTGAACTGTCACTTCCGTTCCACCAATGTGTCTGTCATTATTTAACAGCTCGGGATATTCCTGTCCAGCAGAATTGCACAGCAGTTGGTACAGAGCCAAGTCCCAGTCTCTGACAGTGTGATAGATGGCCTCTGCAGTGCTGCTGCTCCAGTGCTGGGAGAGCATGCTGAGTGCCCCAGTCCATGGGAACTGACCTGGAAGGGAAGGAACAAAGGACATTTGAACTTCAGACCACAGAAATCCATAAAGTGTGTTGAACCCTGATGATGAAAACTCTTGACTCCCTTATCCATGCTTTATTACCCAGTGCTAGAAATCTGTACTGAATCTGAATCTATCATTTCTGGTTTTGGGATGACAGGTCAGGAGAAAATATAACTCGAGGTATTTAATGAAGACAGGAACATGTTTGAGGTCTCCCTACCCCTATGCCGGTCCTTTGAGCAACTGCCTTTGTAGGGTGCCTGTTGAGAGCAGAGTGTTCTCTGGGACATGCTGGGTAGAAGCCAGGGAGGGGCTGGGATTGAGCTGTACCTTTAAGGTACCCATCACATAGCCATCCACTGTTTACTTGCCTACCAGTTCATGTGGGCAAAATAAATCATGCCAGCAACATTCAACTCTGCTGTACCAGCGATGTGAAATGGAACCAAATTGATGTGAAAAGGATTTGTTTCCATGTCTGTAAAAGCTGCATATAAGCAGCATGTTCAGCTTTCCACCTTTATGGCACCTGAATCTTTTCTTTCATTTATAAATATTGTGTGTGTTGCTTTCAAGATAGGGCTCACACTAAACACTGAAGTAAAACCAACTTCAAGAATGTCATAAAGCCTTTCTATGAATCTGTACTATTCTGCCAATACTGGTCATTTACATAAAAGAGCCACCACGTTAAAGTTTTTGTATAGTTTAGTTTAATGAAAACTCATTTCTGAGTGCCTTTACTTCTAGTTGTAGACAAGATACAGAAGATGCACTCCTGATTCCTCCCACAAAATGTAACTAAACACTCCAGGATGATACATAAAACAAAGAAGACTGAATGGTAGAGAGAAGATTCCTCCTGATGAGGAACCTTGGGAATTGAAGAATTCCCTGGCCAGAAACTGTTCAAAGATAAAAGGAAACCTCAGAAAAGCCTGTTATCTCTGGCTACAGGACTAGGAAAAGATCAGCCTAAAAAGACAGAATCCAAGCACCATAGGAAAAAGCACCCCTCCTGTTAGCACAGATCTAGTTGAAAGTAAGAACTTCTGGATTGCTGTCTGACCTGGCAGTAGCCATTCGGTGTACCCTTTTAGCCACCAAAGTTCTGTCAATGGAGGCTTGCTAAAATAGAAAGTTTACATAAAATTCAGAGATTCCTAAGATGACTGCCCCCAAATGTCCAGGATTCATTGAAAAATCCACTTGTCCAACCAAGGACAAGGAAAATCAGAATTTGAATGAGAAAAAGACCACTGACACAAGTAAGCTGTGGTAAGTTACTTATGTATCACCTAAAGGGACTACTAGAGTATTCAACAAGGAGACTCACAAACACTGCAGATAAATAAAATTCATTTCATATATAATTATAGGTAGTTTGAAAGCAAAAGAATACAAAATATATACATTAATGAGAAGAAAATAAGAGTAGTTATATTAACATCATAAAATAGACCACAACAAGAAAATTACAGGGACAAAGGACACTACATAATGGTAAAAGGGTTAATTTGCTAAGGCATTGGACACATAAATGTGTACCCAGGAGACAACAAACCTTCTAATTTCCCAAGTGAAAAACTAATAGGATATAAAGGAGAAACAGACAAGTCCACAATTATAATTGGAGACTTCAACACCCTCTTTCAACAATTGATAGACCCACCAGATGAAAAATCAACAGACATAAAATAACTAAACAATACCATCAACCAACAAGACTGAACTGACATATATTGAACACTCAATCATTGTAAAATTCATATTCAAGGGCATGTAGAATATTCACAACATAGACCATATTTTAGTTCACAAAACATCTGAAATTAACAGTATTTCTAATGAAAATAAGGGGTAGTTAGTGCTTATTTTTTTAAATCTTAGCTACATTCTTTGTGATGGAGAGATTTGGAAGTGTAATTCTAAGTTCAGTTTATTATTTGGCTTAACAGTAGTCTGATTAACACTTAAGTTTGATTCTGTATTTTGGCTGTTGTAAATAAGGCTGTAATAAAAGTGCTGATGTTTCCTCAAAAAAAAAAAAAAAAACAAATGTAAACGAACTGATATAATAGAGCATGTTTTCTAATCATACTGGAGTCAAACTAGAAATCAATTACAGAAAAAACTTTACATAATATCAGCTGATGCAGACAAGGCACTTGACAAAATTTAACATCCACTTATAAAAATTCTCAGCAAGCTGGAAATAAAAATTTTTATCAAGAAATTGAACTTCTTCCACTTGATAAAAGACACATATATCTACATCTGCTAGCTTTCTTATGGTGAAAGACTGAATTATTTCCCCTTTAGGGGAAAGGTAAAAATAATCATGCAGGAACAGGGCAAATTTATGTATATTCTCCACTCGCACTCAACATAATACTGGAACTCCTAGATGATGCAATAATGCAAGAAAACAAAAAATATTGATTGGAAAGGAGAAAGCAAAACTGTCCCTATTTGCAGATGATCTAATAATATATGTAGAAAAATCTATGGAATGTACCAAAACTCTAAAACTATTAAGTGAGTCCAGCAAGTTTTTAGTATATTAGGTCAATAGCTTAAAAACTATTTTTATTAAAACCATGCTTGATATACCTATCATTCTTGTCTTCTAAATATGTACTGCTTCTAATATCATATCAGTTATCCCTATACTCTGTCTCTCTCAAGTAAATGTTTGTTTAAAAAAAAGACAATAAAACAAGAGACAAGAAAAAAAGTCATAGGATCGTCCTGCTACAATCTTGTATATGGTTAGATTTCTGAATTTCTGTGTAAAAATGTGTAACCGTTTTTTCACATTCTATAGGGACTTAAAGTTTAGAATATCAATAATTGTTGGAAAATATCTGTTCCATGTTATGTCTAAGGCATTTGATATTCAAACAGATAGTGATGTTAAGCTCAACTGCCTCTGTTATAGGGTAATAATATAATTAAGCTTCTTTTTTGGATGGTTAACAACTTAAGTATGCAGACTAAAAATTACAGAAAAAGAAGGGCTACAAGGATAGCCAATATTTTGGCTCTAGCCCTTTAAAGTCAGTGAGGATTCAGGACATAAGAGAACTTGTACTGTAACTCAGTGGCATCCCAAATTTTCTGTTCAAGGAGATTATGGGGCCACAGAAGAAAGTGATCAGTGATGCAATGTGCCTAAGAAGAGTTACCTAGAGAGAAAACATTCTCTCAGGCTTTCACATAGAGGAAGTTGGTCAACCAATGGCTGTGACTCATTTACATGGCTGACACTGACAAAGCATCTACAAACTGCTGTACATGGTTTCAGGGTAAATCCTGAGGGGATTTGAATGAACTTGTAGATACAAAAGTTACAGTTTTAGTGAAATAGGTCTTGCTTTAACTTGGTCTTAACCATCCAGCAGAAAAGTACAAATGCGAGGTATAAAAAATAAAAACCATATTAACATGCTAAGCTGTAAAAGGCTCAAATCAACAACTTCTGACATTGCTAGTTCTGCTGATATCCCACTACTAAAATGGAATATTGGACTATATTGAGTTATTTTGCTGAATTCACAAACCTACAATATTTGAATTGCAATGGAACACCCATCTCTGACAAAGCAAAACAAAAAAGGGGGATATAAATGAAGGACCATGTTGTAGTGAAAAAAATATATATATGTATGTACAAAATAGGATAGATATACAGCTACTTTCTCTTAGTTCAATGAGAAGAAAGATTTGCACTAATAGTGTTTAGACAAGATATCATGTATGCATAGTGTACTCTAAATAACTACTATGAAAACAACAGTATGTAATGTATTAATTATTGAAACTGTCCTGCTAACCTGTTTTGAAACTGTCTCATTGCTATTTCATTCTCATTAAAATTAATTTAAAAAGAAGTAATATGCATTGCCTGCATGTACAAATCTCCCATGATGAATGTGATCATTATGTATTGCAAATGTGTACTAATAAAAAATAGTATATTGAACTTAAAAAGAAATGAGTAGGTTGACAGCAAGCTCTAGAAGTCATGCTATTTGCCAGATATGGTGGACAAGCCTGTAATACCAGCACTTTGGAAGCTCAGATAGTAAGATCACTTATGCAGCCTGGGCTACATAATGATTTCAAGTCCATCTGGACTTACAGCAAGACCCTGCCTCAAAAAATATTAATACTATTTAAAAGTAACTCAAAATAAATGAAGTACTTATGTGTGAATCACGTAAGGGATTCGTATGCTGAAAACTACAAAATGGCAACAAATGAAGTCAATCAAGATCTACATCAAAAGACAGGCATACCATATTCATGGACTGGAAGACTCAAAATAGTAAAGATATGTTTTCTTCAAATGGGTTTATAGATTTTGTGATAGTTAATGTAGACTGTCATCTTGATTGGTTTGGGATCCTCCCAGGGGATTACTGCACGTTTTGGAGTGTTTCACACTGTAGAGACATGACCTTGGGATGTATATCTGATCCCTGACCGCTTCCTCTATGGTGCTGTCCCTCTGCTATGCTTTCTGACCATCACAAAATAAGGAAATCTGACTTACCACACCCTTCTGCTGTGATGTTTCTGCTTTGGAGCCAGTTTATCACCAACTGAGTCCTCTGAAACTGTGAGATGTTAAACTTTTCCTTTAAGTTCTGAGTATTGAATATTGTGTCCCAATGATGAGAAAGCTGACTAATACAATGTTTAACAAAATTTCCATCAAATTCCATCAATTTTTGTAGATATGGACAAGCTTATTCTAAATTTTTTTATAGAAAGGGAAAGAAACTAGATGGCTAAAACCTTTGGGAAAGAATAAAATGGAAGGATCACTGTACTTAGTGATAAAGTACTACATCACTGCATTAATCAAAGCAGTGTGGCACTGGTAAAGGCACAAATGTCTAAGTCCATGGAGCAAAAAGAGAACCCAGTTATAGACCCACATGTGTATGGCTAACTTATATTTGACAAAGGTGCAAAAGCAATT